GGCGGGCGGACGGGTGGTGTGGGGGGGGTGGGGGGGAATGGGGGGAGAACCATATGCTAAGACAGACAGGCGGGGCTTATTTTTGAATGCTTGCTCCATCTTTAAGGGATACTAGTCCCCTCTTCCCTCCTCTTCCCTCTTTCCTGCCATCTGCTTGCACAGGGAACAAGAGGTGGGGGCATGCCCCCTTCCTGGGGTATCATGCTACTTCCCTTTCCTACCAGACTCTGTCCGGCACTAAATGGTAACTGTAATTCTAAATGGTAACAGTAATGCATGCCTGATGAAGGGTATTTATACTCGAAATCTTACTAAGAAGAATTTTTCCAACTATTTGAGTTTGTCTAATAAAAGATATCAGAGTTACCCAAAGAACTTTGTTTAACAGTATAAAGACACTTACAGTTTAAAGTTTCACAGCTCTAGTTTATCTGATTTTTCTGCTTTATAATAAGCTTGATAAACGAAGTAAAATGCAGGTACCTTTAGATGCAAAATGCTAACATTGCAAAGGAAAACATTTTCTGGGAGAATATAGTTTATTTGTAAATATTAAATAGACAAAAACAGTGCCTGTTCAACAGAGATTGGTGCCTGATATCAGTTCATGGCCTGGCGTGTCTCTTAGTTCCATTAGCTGGATATCTGATTAGTGTGAAAACATTAACTGTCAGGCTGGCACAAAGTAGGCTTGATGCAATAAGCCCATTTCCAGTTACCAACCCTTAAGAGCCAAATTGTCTTGGAAATCCGTAACTCAAACTTCAGCATGTTGAAGGCTTGATTCTCTCTCTGACATCTATGTGCTACTTATTCCCAGTATTGAGAATTAGTAGTGAATTACATGTGTTCAGCAGCAGGAGAACAGACTTCAGCTGTATATACTGCATTCTCTTTATTCCTCTTACATTTTTACTGTCATGTAACTTTTCCAGCTATTAACAGGAGGCTGTTGGTGGGTGTTCTGCAGGGATGCAAAAATTGAGATAATTCTTCTAGTCTGTATTTGACTGGATATAGAGTAAGGCTGTGCGAAACAGTACCATTCTGCTTCGACTTCTGTTTCGACATTTCAATGGAACAGTGTTTTGTTTCAAGTTTCATTTTGTTTCAAAACCACCGTTCTGTTTCATTTCGTCGAAATTGTTTCAACATTTCACCTATAGGCTATAATGGGGAAGCATGAAACTGCCTATAACTCTGTCATTTCTTGCCTGATTCAGATGAAACTTGCAGGGATAGTAGCCCCTTCTGAGGGCATGAAGCCCATAGAGTTTCAAGGAGATTGGTGCAGAGGTTTTTGGGACACTGCACCTCAAGTTGTTGACAAGCAAAACTTCTGGCACTTGCCAGCAGCAGCAGCCTCCTGTCATCTGGCCTGCCAAACTGGCGGTCCGCACCCTTGGGAAGGCTGCAGGGCTGTGCCGGACTCCTCCTAGGGGTGTGGGCCCCCATCTGCCTGTCGGATGACAGGAGGCTGGTTCTGCTGTCTGGGGCTAGCAGCAGCACCAGTCTTTCCAGCGCTGGGAAGATTGGTGCTGCCACTGGCCCTAGACAGCAGAACCAGCCTCTTGTGATCCAACAGGCAGATTCGGGGGCCCGCACCCCTGGAAGAAGTCCGGCACAGCCCCTGTAGCCCTCCCAGGGGTGCGAGCGGGCCCCCGATCTGCCTGCCAGATGACAGGAGGCTGCTGCTGCTGGCTGGGACCATTGCGCAGCCCGCACCCAGCTCCAGGAAGATTGGTGCTACTGCTGGCAGCAGCCTCCTGTCATCCAGCAGGCAGATTGGGGGCCTGCACCCCCAGGAGGAGTCTAGCACAGCCCCTGCAGGCCTCTCGGAGGTGCAGGCAGGCCCCTGATCTGCCTGCCAGATGACTCCTAGGAGGCTGTTGCTGCTGGCTGGGACTGTCTCTGGTCTTGACCTGTGCCGAGCGCCAGGAAGATTGATGTTGCTGCTGGCCCCAGTGGGCAGTCATCTGGTGCACAGATCTGGGGGCTGTACCCCCGAGAGGGCTGGGGGCTGTGCCAGAATCCTCCCGGGAGGTGTGGCCCCCAGGTCCGTACCGGATGACAGGAGGCTGTTGCTGCCAGCTGGGACCGGCGCTGAAGCCATTTAAGCCTGGCTTCGGAACTTGAAACGTTTTGAATGCCCTTGTTTTGTTTGAAAGCTGTTTCAAAGGCTTTTGTTTCGTTTCGAGTTCAAAATGCATTGAAATAGCTGTGAAACGAAACACCTGGCAAAATTTCACATAGCCCTAATATAGAGTTTTTTCATGTTTGTTGAAGATTAATTCAGTTTTATGCATTCTAACAGAGTATTCATATATGGTTCCTGGGGACTGAGAAGTTCACAGGAGGCCTGGATAAACAAAATAAAGGTTCCTCTCTGAGACTGTTGATTTATGTACACGTTCCTGGTTTTAAATTTCTGCATATAAACTGACGAAGGCTTTTGCCACATTCCCTTTATGCAGCCTCAACAGTCTGTAAACTCCAAACAAACCATATAAAATTAATACAAATAAGAGAACTCTTATGCTTCGAGAGTTCAATCTTTGCTTCTGAACTACAAATCTGTTTTTCTCACTCAGGAGAGTAGCCCAGACTCTCTTAAATCATAAACTAAAGAAAGCTTCAGTCAGACAAATTGTCCCCAAGCAGGCTGCCACATTCTTAGTAGGTGAAAGTTAAGGGCTTCCAAAATTCAATTACATCTTGATACATTCCAATCTAATAATTTTAATTTTATTTTATTCTAATTCTTATCTAATAATCTGATTTGTATAATCTAGCCTAAAAGTAAAATCTAGAAATCTTAATTTTTTAAAATTGTATACCTCTTTCAACAATAAACAGTAGCCATGGCTGAAAGCACTGAGGCCAAAATTCTCTGTCCTGTCCCTCTCAATTCCTTTAATTCAGGGGTGGGCAAAATGCGGCCTGGGAGTCAGATGCAGCCTGCCAGGCCATTCTGTCCAGCCCGCAGGGCCCCTAAAAAATTTAGAAAATTAATATTTATTTGCCCTGGGCTGCCTGTTATGCGGCTCTCGATGGCTTGCCAAAACTCAGTAAGTGGCCCTCTGCCCAAAATAATTGCCCGCCCCTGCAGTCTAATTGGTCCTACACATATGTTGTAAAAAGCAATTAAGAAAATACAAAAGAATACCAGTGCATAATATAATAAATAACCTTTACTACAGAGTTTACAACAGAGCAATAAAATATTTTAATCTATTCAGTCTCATATGAAACACCTCTAGATCATAACTTAGTCAAATATCCCTTCTTGATGTGGCAGGAAGTACCCCTGTAGAACCAGGAAGTGGATTTTTGGGTAATGAGATTCAAATTCAAGATACTAACTGCAGGTTAAGCAATGATATTGTACCTGCTTAAAATCCCACAGAAGTTTCACTGGCACCTTCATTTCTCAAGACTCCAAACTAACTCATTTCATTGTATTCCACCCCAGAGGTAGTTGCACCAAAGAAACTGTTTGCTCATTTCTTGTTTTTAAAACTCTTTATCATTGTTTGAGACCAAAGTCTCTCTAATTCTAGTCACTTAGTTTGCTCCACAGAAGCTGACTTTTGCCCCTGTCTGGAGACTGATGAACTCTAGGGGCATGTCCCCATGAGTGCACTCACGCATTTCCTGGGGACAAATAGCAACAGCACATATTTGTACCACTGCTACTTGTCCCTGGGCATGCTGTGACATGTGGTATATTACCCCAGGTGAGGTAGGAGAGGCTGGGGCCAGCACCTGGGCTGGGCCCAGCAGCTTTTCTTGGGGGCTTCCTGGGGCTATAGTGGCGATGATTCAGGCACACAGAGCCTGGTTGGCAGCCAGTGTGGCTCTGGCCGGCCAGGCTCTGGTTTTGGACGTTGAATGCTGTTGCCACGTGCACTGTACCACTTTATTTTGGTGCATTTTTTTAGATACTGGGATTTCTTGGTGTCTGATTTTGCCCCCAGGCACATTAACATATTAACGTGTGGCATGTGCATTTTGCGGTGCCTCTAAAGGCTTTGAGGCACCACAGGCTGCACATTCTCGTTCATGGGGATGCAGCCTAGGACTCCACTTCGGTTATGAGTATACCCGTATGGAGCAGGTGTCAGGATTAGGACATAAGAAATGTCATACAGGATCAGACTACAGGTCCATCTAGTCCAGTATCTTGTGTCTCTCAGTGGCGTAGAACGTATGCAGAGTGGATGAGTGTTTATTTATGCAGGACTTAGCCAGACATTTCTGTTCTCCGCCCTTCTTCTCTTACAGTTTCCAGCAATTGGAAGCCCAGGAAGTATTTTGAAGGTACAGCCCTACTACATTTTTAATGCATACTGCTGGATCTATCCTTCATGAATTTGTATAATCTTCTTTTGAATTTGGTTAAATTATCAAGAACAATTATTAAGAAAAAGATAGAATAATAATATTTATTTAATTGTATTTTATTTTTATTTAGCTAAATAGTCTGCCCCATTTGAAAGCGTGTACTAGACCCTGATCCTAAAAAAACGTACAATCTTGCTTATTTGCTCTGTGTGGTTTACATGTGTGAAACTGAATGTATGTATTATTAGTGTTTGGCTTGGGTATAATGTGAAAGGGAAGAAGTTAAAGAAGCCTATGTTGAATGACTCAGCTGAAATGCATGCTTGGATTCATGGTTATAGGATAACGGATGACTATTGTTAAGGAATCTTTTGTTCTAACACAAATGGAAGTGCGGTCAGCACATGTGGCAGAAATATGCTGTTGGATCTTACTCTAAAATAAGATCCAACGCTTGAATTCTTTGAAGTGTTTCAGCTTTATCAAAAGAATAGATGATCAGTGAGGACACATTCCTTTGCTACGTTTTAACAGTTGTTTTCCAATGCATGGTTATGCAATAATAAGATAAAGCATTAGCAATAATGAAACTGGGGAAAATGCA